CTTGTAACCTCCTCTTACTCCCGCTAATGTTTCCACAGACAAGCTGTTCCTCGAGGTTTGGAGACCTCGACCTTCGACGGCCATTTCAACCAGGTTCCGTTTCTGACTCGGGAGGATTTCCATCGTCCTTATCCCTTCTTCCAACAAGGAGACAGGAGTGTTGGTCAGGCTCGTGTCCGTGCAGCAGCAAGGGAGAAACGGGAACAGGTGCGGTGGATGCGGGAGGAGATTGAGCGAGATGGGAGGGGAGCGGAGTGGATGCGGCAGAGAGTGGCACAAGAAGAGCGGAATGAGAGACAGAAACTGGCACTCGAAGCGCATTACGAGGCATGGTGGCGCCAGAAGAAAGCCAGTTATCCTCCTCTTCCGGACCCTGCCTGTCGTCATCGTGGACGGAGGGACATTGACTTTGGTTGGGACTGGGGCCCAGATGGGAAATGGGGTCCTCTGACCAATGGGGCTATCAGGATTTTCTAGGAGCGGTCCTAGATGTGGTCTCCTTTCGAGCGAAGCTGGGCGCTATATCCCTTTGAGCGAAGCTGGGCGCTATATCCCTTTGAGCGAAGCTGGGCGCTATATCCCTTTGAGCGAATGTGGGCGCTATAACCCTTTGACGGATACAGTGGAGACCATAGTAACGTGTTCGCCTCTCCCATGCCAGCCCGAGCTGAATAAAAAAAAGCTCACTGCTTAGTTATTTCAGCGTTGAGAGTGGTCCCAGATGTTCCGGTAAGATTTTTTCCTTTCGTCGGGGTTCTTTAAGCGAGGAGCTTAAAGTTATACTGTAACGGGGGTGCTAGGATGATACACGACCGTGACTTCGATCTGACATAGAAAGGGTAAACGGGCAACGATGGATTCATTGGGCTCGTTCGATCGAAAGATGAAGTTTATTTTTGTTTGATCGTATTTGTAGTCTAAAAACTTAATAACTTTAAGGGGTCTCCTCGCATGTAAAGATTCCATGACTCCCCGAGTTCAAACTGGGGGCAACCGAGTACTTTTATCGAACTTCCGCCCCTTTTTTCCCGCTTTTCCTCTCTAGGCCGTCCGTTCCTCCCTAGTCCGGGGACACCGCGACTTTTTTCTATGAGGGGCGAGAGGAGTCGCTGCCACACCTCGGACGAACTTCCGCCCGAGTCAAATCACGCAATCTCTGCCAAGAGCTGGTCGGGACCCTAAGAACTAGTGGAAACAACCGACCAGATAGCAATTGCTTATTCAATTTGTTTTAGAGAAGATTTGGTGTTTTGTAAAGCAAGGTTTGCTTTTAGTAGCTTGGGTCGTACTCCTACTCCCCCTCAAAGTTGCACTGGACTGAAACAGGAGGGTTCCGGCGGTTCGACGCTCCGGGGGTTATTTTTGGGGTCTAAAACGTGTTTATTTTGCAGTGTTCCCTCAACTCCGCAATCCGTTCATTCAACCACCCCAAATGGACCGGAGCATCGTCAGGATCCTTTCTGACGTAGTAAAGCATATTTTCCGAGCATCGGTTGCTAAGTTATTACGCCTCAAAGGTTGACTTCCAAGGTAGGGTAACTTATGTTTGGGGTTACCCTTCTTTTTATTTGGCATGCTCATCCTTCTGCTCTAGTTTTGGTCCAGTCCCCTAGCTTGACTTGTAAGACTTCTTGCTTGCCAGGATCCCTACCCTCCATACCAATAGAGGTAGGGGCTCATCTGCCCTTGTCTTCAACCATCGAAGTGGAACAAGCGGTGATTGCCCTAGGGTCGTATGGCTTGACTGGTAGAACAGGTACTTTTGTAACAGCCCTACTGTGGCTCTGTTACAGCAGTTTACAACTCCAGCTCTGAGTTTGTCACGGGGCCCTAGCTAACACATTGATTTTTTTTGCTTTTCTTGAGATGATATCATGATATTGATTTTTGATTTTCTCGGTAGAATATAATAGTATTGATTTTTGCTTTTTTGTGACAATATAATCATGATTGAATTAATATTGATTTTCCTTTTTGAGAGCAATATAGTTATAATTACTATATTAATTTTTGTTTTTCTTTCAAGTTATATGATATTAGGGTACTACTTGTATTGATTTTTGCTCTACTTGATACAATATCACATTCAAGTTATTAATATATCTTTGCTTTTCTCGGTATGATATAATCATGATAACATTGAATTTTGTTTCTCTCCATAATTAGTAGATTTTGGTATTATCTTCTGCTCGGAGATCCTCCTCCGAATCCGTCCTCAAACCTGTCCCAACTCTGCCATATTCAAAGTCGTTCCTGAACTCAGACCCGAGCTGTTAGAATTAGCAAGAGATTTTTTGCTGATGAAGTATTAGCAAGAGATTTTTTGCTGATGAAGTATTAATAGATCAACGTGAATTCAGGTAAAATCAAAAATTAAAAGATTATTTTTGCTAATTTTTAATTAGATCCTTCTACATTACTAGTAATATAAAGTTTTGAGTATACCCTTCCTGCCAGTGGGGCTATATTCTCATATAGAATTGCATTAAAATATAATATATGATGGATTATCCTCTACGACCGAAGGCCGGCAACGACTTGTACGTATGTATTTAGATAGTAGAGGACATGTATCTCTTTAGGGAGGTTACACATAATCACTTAGATAAATGTGTACGTATAAGAGCAGAGTTGATGCATCAAGCTACATAAGTTCAGACTCAGCCAAAGACTTTACACAAAACGAGTGACTGAGTATGATTGATTTTTCTAAGGTCACTCGTATATAATAAATACATATACATATACTAACATTACTTTTGCTCTTTATACCCATAATAGTTCCTTTGAAAGGTTTCGTTATCATGAACTTTCGAACATCATGCGAGGATTTCAGGATACTTGGTGATTAGAGTTTCCTGTCCAGTATCAAGACAATTCCGCCCTACCTCCACCAAATTACCATCATTCATCTATCGATATCGCCTAAGATACATTCGTTTCCTGGTCAAGAATAAGATCCTTTATCCCCGGAAAATCGTCGTCTAAGGTATTTGGTCGCAGGTTCAATTCCCCACAGCCTTCTGAATACCTCTACCTAACTCGCTGACAATAGGTTCGATGACTTCGCTTACCCACTACTCTTCCATCATATTTGGAATAATTCTGGCTGTCTATGTCTTTCTGGGAGCATTCCTGAATAGCACCGCGGGGCTTTTCTTAATCCAGAATAGTTCTGGTCTGCTCCACTACCCCCAAAGCACTCGCAGTGAACAATTGATATGTATTGGCTTGAGTGGGATTAACTTACCCCAAGATCTCGCTGTTGTAAGTTCGTTTATATATAGACTTGTTATTTCAGTTTTCAATTACTAACTTCAGTGCCCCTCGCGTCTATTTAAAAGGATCAGGCCGGGAAAAACGACATCCAAGAAATCACATATTCTGACCCAAGGATAGTAATCCAAGTAAGCTTATTGTCTTCCTTGCTAATTTGCATGTATTAAGTCTTACTCTTTAGTCATGGAAAGTGCCCATATACAATAGGAACTATGGCGAAGTAATCAACAAACGCTGGCAGCAGTTAGATTCGTCCAAAGGGGCCAGGATAGAATTTCCTCTTGATTCAACCCCACAGAAACTACGCTCGACCAGTACCCAAAATCTCCATACTATACCAGAAGCTTGGGAGACAATGAGGATCTGCACATTTGTCATCTGCATCCTTCCGTTTATCGTGCTTCTCCCGATTTATTTGTATTGTCACTGGATTCGCGATAGAGGAAGTTATGACAGAGAAGATTATGAGGATCTCCCTTGATTTCTGGGTACAAGTACATAATACGAAGATCGAATCCTGGTCTTTTTGCAAAGACTGAGAAATAATGTGTTTTTGTTTCTTGGAGGATCTATTTTGTCGGAATTGATTGTTATCCTTACTTCCGAACGGGCCATCAGGGCTACCATCTAGCTAGGGCAGTTATTCTATAAAGGCGATCAAAAAATAATCGCGAAATCGAAGAATCACTTAAACTCGCGGTGTCGAAAAGTTGCGGGTTACGTGTCGAAAAATCCTCACTTCTGTAAATTTTAAAATATTTACCAAATTAAGGATTCATTCCCCTGTTCCCGTTTCCTCTTTCTCTGTCGGGCTGCCTGGATGTGTTTGTCTTCCGCATAAAGTACATACATGTAATGTCGGTTTCTTCTAGCGTCAATTGTAGGATATATATACATACCCTCTAGTATCCGTTCTTTAGAAGAAACGTGTGACAAGTTTATCAATCATGCCATACTAGGATATAATGCAAATTTGTGGAATATTAAGATCCATTGTAAATACATGTATGTACAGCGAAAGCTTGCTATAACGGTACGCTCGGGACCGGAATTTGGTACCGTTATAGAGAGATTACCCTTATAGAAAGTACCGTTATAGCAAGCTTTCTCTGTATTGGGATTATATTATTAATATATATAATCCCCATAGCCCTAACCCATCTTTGTATGTATCTTGGCACAAAGCTCAACGCAATCGTCGCCGACAGAAATGACTCGGTCATCAGTGCGTCGCAGATTTGCGAGTAATTTCTTCTCTTAAGAGCTTCCGTTTTATGTGCCGGTCAACATGCACTATTATTAGTATGACGTCAGGTACAGTTTGAGTTACTTGTACTCGTTTACCACGAAAAGAACCAAAAAATGCAAGTGACGGAAACAGGGATAGTTTGTATGAGAGATCACCGCCACTCCATACAATAATCCTTGCCCTGAGCAACTGCATTTTCTGGTTCTTTTCGTGGTAAACAAGTATGTACCGCAGATGCAGGTCCTGTAGGGTTCTTCTTGCCAGGTACATACCTAACTTGTTGCTGACGTCAACACGACAACATCTGGGCACTGATTTGTTAAAATTCTCACAATCAGGTTTCTATTTTTAGGAATTCATGCTCTATGAAAGGTAGGCCCTTATTTTCTTTTCAGGTCTTCATCTTTTGTTTCAAGCAGCTTCGAATTTACATTCATCCTTATTGATTCTTGCCGATAACTGAATATTAAGCATGCCTGGTGAAATAATTGACAGACCAAACCCTCCACCGTCTCGTTCACATCTGCCTCCCGCACTTTTGGAACTTTCAGTAAAACTCGATATCAAAAATGCGCTCTCAAACGAAGATATTTCAGCTCTTCAGAATTTCCGGAGAGCAGCGAACTATATCGCGGCAGCTATGATATTTTTGCGCGACAACACACTACTGGAGAAGGACCTTACTCCAAGAGACATTAAGCCGAGGATTCTAGGCCACTGGGGAACCTGTCCAGGATTAACTCTGGTTTACTCACATTTAAATAGAGCAATTGAGAAATGGGGATCCGAGATGCTATTTGTGATCGGGCCAGGTATTCAATATACTAACATATTAATTAAACTCTCATATTAGTTCAGGAACTGACTATCAGTAATTTCTAGGACACGGAGCGCCAGCTATTCTAGCGTGTTTATGGCTAGAGGGTGCATTAACGCATTTCTACTCAGAACAGTATTCGTTGGACAGAAAGGGCCTAAACAACTTGATAACGGGGTTTTCCACTCCTGGCGGATTCCCGAGTCATATCAACGCGCAGGTCCCAGGAAGTATTCATGAGGGCGGCGAGCTTGGGTATGCATTAGCTGTTGCTTTTGGCGCAATTATGGACAAGAAGGATTTGATAGTTCCTGTTATTATTGGAGATGGGGAGGCCGAAACTGGCCCTACTGCGACGTAAGTTACAAGATTCCGTATCTCAACCCGATCCCCAGCTTCCGACTAAAGTGAACAGGGCATGGCATGGGTATAAATACATAGATCCTGTAGAGTCAGGCGCGATATTGCCGATTGTTCATATAAATGGCTTCAAGATCAGTGAGAGGACAATATATGGATGTATGGACGATGAAGAACTCGTCGCTCTATTCACGTATGACCTTATCTGTAATATACCTACGCAAGAAGTGTGCTTACTCTTAATTGCAGTGGTTATGGCTACCAGGTTCGCTTCGTTGAAGACCTTGAGAATATTGACCGTGACCTCGCCGCCTCAATGGATTGGGCAATTTCTCAAATTCAGCATATTCAGAAAGCAGCTCGATCTGGAAACCCAATTGTAAAGCCCCGTTGGCCAGTCATTCTTCTACGCACTCCGAAAGGCTGGGGAGCACCTAAGAAAGTCCACGGGAAATTCGTAGAGGGTTCTTTTCACTCCCATCAGGTACCGCTACCAAAGGCTAGCAGTGATAAAGAGGAGCTTGGGCAACTCCAGGAGTGGCTAAGAGAATATCAACCGGACACACTGTTCAAAAGGGATGGATCTCCAAGTGATAATGTTACAAAGATAATTCCCAAGGACGCATCAAAGCGGATGGGTGTGATCAAAGATGCCTTTTCTGGATACAAACCGCTTGACCTTCCTGATTGGATCGAGATGGGTGAGGAAAGAGGACAGGAAGTTAGCAGTATGAAAGCTGTTGGAGAATTACTTGACCAGGTCCTGCAGAGAAATCCAAGTGACATGAGAATTTTTAGTCCTGACGAGTTGGAGAGTAATAAATTAGACGCAGTGTTGAAGCACACTGGAAGAAATTTCCAGTGGGATCAATATTCTAGGCAGAACGGTGGGAGGGTAATTGAAATTTTGAGCGAGCACACGTGTCAAGGTGCGTATCTTTATACCATTAGGTATTCCCTTTCTTCCTATGGTCAGTCTAATCGATATTTAGGTATGATGCAGGGTTATACGCTTACGGGAAGATCTGCTGTGTTCCCATCTTATGAGAGCTTCCTAGGAATTATCCACACCATGATGGTGCAATACAGCAAATTTAGAAAAATCGTAAGCTCAAGTGAAGACCCCCCGTTACTCAATTGAATGCTGAAACTCTCCAGGGCCGAGAGACCGTCTGGAGAAAGGATACAGCAAGTTTGAATTACGTTGAGACCAGCACATGGGCTAGACAAGAACACAATGGGCATTCACATCAAAACCCATCTTTCATCGGAGCTGTTTTAAACCTTAAGCCAGAAGCGGCGCGAGTATATCTTCCACCAGACGCCAATTGTGCCCTCTCCACAATGGCCCACTGCCTTCGATCGCGTAACTACACCAACCTTATAGTAGGCTCAAAACAACCCACACCTGTCTGGCTTTCCCCCTCCGAGGCCGATTCGCATTGCAAGGCTGGTGCTTCAATTTGGAAATTTGCATCCACAGACGAAGGCCTAAACCCTGATGTTGTGCTGTGCGGGATTGGCACAGAGGTTACTTTTGAAGTTATTGTTGCCGCATCGTTACTTCGAAAACTAGTCCCGGAGATCAGAGTTCGTGTTGTCAATGTGACGGATTTGATGGTACTTGGTGCGGAGAATACACACCCGCATTCCCTGGACGATCCTGCTTTCAATGCAATTTTTACAAAAGATAGGAATATTCATTTCAACTACCACGGATATATAACAGAATTGAAGGGGATGTTGTTTGGAAGGCCCAACCCGGAGAGGGTAAGTATCGAAGGATACAGAGAAGAAGGAAGCACCACTACGCCTTTTGATGTGAGTACCCTCCGCAAAAATGATTCTATCCCGAAATTTAATGAATACGGACCTGGGCAGATGATGTTATGCAATCACGTATCAAGATATCATGTCGCCATTCAAGCCGTCAAAGGTGCTGCCAAGTTCAACGAGAAGGTCAGTGTGAAGCTGATAGAGCTCGTGGCGGAGCTTCAACATAGCATCAAAAAACACCAGGAGTACATCCTAAAGCACCAGGAGGATCCAAAGGACACTTATGACTTGCCTTGCTTCGAGTAGAATTGCAGGAATATTTTCGCATAGCGTTATGTTAAATTGAGAAATTTCAGTTGTTTTGTGATTCTTGGTCATGTATAATATTGATTCTCGGGCTTTTTGCGGTGCCACCTGTGAGTCATAGTTTGTCACTCGCATGTGATGCCATGACACTCCAATCTGGATTTGCACAAGACCTTTATGGTTCCAGACAATTGAATTGAAAAGAAGAAAGACGAAGAAGCCTGCGCTGTGATAATTGTCATGCACCCACCCAGCACCCAGACCAGGGTCTTCCGCCAATCACATCGTTCGCTAAGTAATCCTTGGCCCGCCAACCGGCAATAATCTTGGCATCTACAACCCACTCCAACAACCAGTCACCGCCCGCCCGCCATCGCCGCGACATCTTTATCAATCGCCTCTCCCCACAATCTCCCCTCCTCTCCCTGTCCGTCCAGAATTGTTCTCTCCACTCTTTCTGTAAAACTAATAATGCTTGCCACAACACGCTCTCTTGGCCTGCGGTGTATGAATTGCCCCTCTTGTACCCCTCTCCCATCTACCCCAGCTAACGTTTGATACAGCTACTCCCGCGCGAACCCTTCTACCAGCGATCGCCACCCGGGCAATCTCGACCTCGAAGCCTTCAAGCGCCTCTGGACACAGCGCTACCCCGGTTGTGAGAGATGCGTCGAGCATCGACAGGAGTGGCAGACGGGAGGTGCCATTGCCAAGTCAGCAGGAGAAGAAGGGTGCTATGCAGTTCGCCTTGTTAGTATAACACTTTCTTTTTAACTATCGGGTCTACGGAATTGGCTGGGCGGAATGGAATTCCGAGTAGGAGGTGAAAGAAGAGTGGGTGAACTGGTGCCAGGAGTTGAAGGCAGGGCTATAGCATACCGGGAATTTATGGACTAACATCTATCCTCACTTCTAGGACCACACTCGATCAAGTCACCAACTGGGCCCGCCAAGGTTCCCTTTGGCCTATGACCTTCGGTCTCGCCTGCTGTGCCATTGAGATGATGCACCTTTCCACTCCCCGTTACGATCAGGATCGTCTCGGTATCATTTTCCGTGCCTCCCCACGTCAATCCGATGTTATGATCGTTGCCGGAACCCTTACCAACAAGATGGCGCCTGCGCTCCGTCAGGTTTACGACCAAATGCCGGACCCGCGATGGGTTGTCTCTATGGGATCTTGTGCGAACGGAGGAGGTTACTACCATTACTCGTACTCTGTAGTTAGGGGCTGTGACAGGATCGTACCTGTAGATGTCTACGTTCCTGGATGTCCTCCTACCAGTGAGGCGCTCATGTATGGAATTTTGCAACTTCAGAAGAAGATGAGACACACTAAGGTTAGCTCCCAAACTCTCGATCGGTGATAATACAATTACTAATGGGTATCTATCATAGATTACGAGGATGTGGTACCGTAAATAAACCGGTTGTGTTTCGTGGGGACGTTGGGTTGAAATGGAATGTTACAGGGCGAAATATAGTTATCATTCCAAGGTGTACATTGCTTCTATTATTTTGTCAATCTTTTTTTTTTTAATTTCACTGCTGTGTTGGACCAATGATGAAATTGTCCCGTCTGTGGCATAAATACCTTGGCGTTATATATATATTTACTCAATCCTTGAATTCATTGATTAGAAAACAACAGCCAGGTCTCACCCCGTGGCAAACGAGTGTGAATCATCTACCTATTCGTCAGGAGAAAATCACAAAACGACTTATTCGTGGAATAATACTTGAACCGCACGATCCGATCATGAATTTATTTGTTGGTCCCTTAGGATGTCTACGGGAAGTGCGGATCTGGAAGTTCATGTAATATCACTCGACGTCTTTCGGTTCGGCTACGTGTTTAAGGTCCTTTGACAAGATCAAAGTCACGGTGACACCTGTCATGTCACCGACCGACCGAAACATATCAACTCTTAGGCCCCTCTCTCAACCCCCCATTCTTCTTGGTGTCCTTGAATTTTGCCTCGTTTTGGTTCCATAGACCAGTCTAGACACAGTTCAGCTGGTTATCATTCGCTCGCATGTAATTGACAGAAGCTGCACTGACCAGCCGATCGCGATCCAGCATCTAGAGTACGATTAAACTCCTGTATCGTTACTTACTGGAGTGAGTTTGCAATCCCGTTTCTCGTAATGAACACTGCGGTTGGTTGATAGATAGCAGATGCTAAGATCAGGTCCGACCAATTATGCATTATCACCGCGAACCAATCAACCAACCCACCCAGTTGACTTTCTACTGTTCAGACCTCGATCCTTCTGGCGTTGAGGGTCTGAGCACTTGACAAAAATTAACCACCAACATACATTATGCATGTATGTTGTTACCCGCCGCCGGTCGTCGGTTGCTTTGCCCTGTACTGGTCGTGCTCTTGGGAAAGAAACCGCAAATCGGAGGCCAGCGGTGGAGTCATGAACGGCATCCCGCATTGAGATCTACGTACATACCCGTTTCAAGGACCTAGGAAATAAGGAAAAAGCAATTATACAGTACCTAGGATAACATTATATTAGATCCCTTATCTGATTATCTAGGTTATCTGGGTCTAGGGACATAATCGCGTTAACCGCACATAGCCGTTTTCTCAACGTCACTGTGGAGGTGGTTCACGTCATGAGGAATCGTTCGGGTCCGACGAAAGGCTATCGTCAGGTTGACATCATTACCCGTGGGGTGCCAAGAAAGGCGAGTGTGTTTATCTAACAGTTTGGGTATATATTCTGAGTGTATCTTACTGCGCATCGATTTCAATTTCGTCTCCATCCTCACTCATGATCATTCTAGAAACATTAATTAAACTTCTTTGAATACTTCGCATAAATACTCACAGAAAAAATGGACTCCGCCACCGAAGGAAAGAACCCCGGTAACGTTATCGGAGGACACAAGGCCAACCTCCATAACCCAAGTAAGATATTATTAACAGATGCTCTTGTTATTAAAACTTAAAAGACTAATAAGTATATAGACACCTCTCAAAAGTCCAAGGATCATTCTAGAGATATTCTCGAAGATATCGGCAGTTCTACCAAGAGCTCCGGCGGCCGTAGCATGGCCCACGGCGATAATGAGGGCAAGAATCCAGATAATGTTGCTAGAGGATATAAGGCGTATGTTCACCTTGAAGTAGTTTAGAAATCCCTCCCATGCTAATATGAGGTTATGAAGTGCCATGAGCAATCCGAACGTATCTAGCGAGGCAAAAGAGCGTGCTGGACACAAGTTGGAGGAGATGGGTGCAGACTAAGGAGCACTCGAGCGGTTATCAAACAGGTTGGGGAATTAATGTATAACATATTGTGGGTTGTCAAAAATAATGGGACGCAACAGGCTTCATTGCAACGTAATAATCTCTCAACCATGACCGACCACAAAGAGACCACAAACAGGATAAGTGATAATAAGAACTACTGGAGACCCAAAATGTATTTTCGTTAGTATTGTCGTTCGTTTGTGCGGGGTTGGGCTGTCGTTGCTGTATTCGTTGCCCCGTTGCGTCCCATTATTTTTGACAACCCGCAATACTAGTATATTGCTATGTTTTTATAAGAAACTTTAGAAACCATTCTGTAGAATAACTCAAGGAATCCAACTCTAATAATCGAATAATCATCCGCTTTATGAGTACTTGTATTCATAGGGCCAGGATATCAAAATAATGGTTAGACGCCTTCCCGGGCCATTCGAACACCCCCCTCGCTCGAACAGTTGATGCTTATTGGTGGAGAAGCCCAATTCAAGAGGTACAGAAACCGGTTACAGCGCAGATCTTTTCTTTTTTAAGTTAACTGTTCGAGTGAGGGGGGTGTTCGAATGGCCCGGGAAGGCGTCTATCATGATACAGCCAATGATTGGGTTTACAACCTGTGCAACATTTAAACCGGGTGAGCTTTCATGACCCAACTTACTATTATCTAGAGCCTGCGTAACTACTACCGGGAATATAAAGTCTGTCCCCTTTGGTATGTAGGTAGGACACCAAACTTTCTTGTCCACACATGTACCAAAGCGGACAGACTTTATATTATCGCTAGTACATGCAGCTAATCTTAATATGATATAAATACCGGAACATTAATGTTTATTCTAGGATGGTAAAGGTACCTACGGTCGCATCGAGCTGGTGGCACAATGTTACGACACTAGTGGCCAACTTGTTAACACCTACATGTATCATCGAACTGTGCAACACCGAAGAATTTGTGCTACATACCATGTTCTTTGTTTTAGTTAATCGGGTAAAGTCGGTAAAATGAATACAACCCCGGATTACAGAGCTGTTCAGGCTATTTATCATCTACCAAGAAATTCTTCAGGGCATATTAACTATCAAATACGCTCTTCAAGCTTTCAGAAAAAATTCCGTAGTTACAAATTGAAATCTCAAATGCGGGGCGCGCATAGATACGGCTGAACTCAAGAATAGACTCTTGTAATATCAGCCTAAAAATCAGGATATGGACCGTGGGGACATTGCATCACATCCCCAGTATCCAGAATGCGGGGTCTATAAAACCAAACATTTCACTTCTAAAGGCATCTCATCTCGACTTATCTCAAAGCCGAACCACATACTTGTGAGCTTCTCGATTTCCTGGCAAAGAACCTACATGCGTAGAACCCTTCAAAAACTTACAATGTCACCTCCATCTGTCAAGTTCATCAACCGAGGAGCAATTCTCCAAGAATTCATAGTTGGCCCCGAAAACCGCAACATCGTTCTCGGCTTCAACACTGCTGCTGAATACCATAACAACCCTGCTCACTTCGGTGCAACAATCGGGCGTGTAGCGAACCGCTTGAAGAATGCAGAGCTTTCATCTTTGAATGGAACCGTCTGGCCGCTCACGGCAAATGACGGACCGAATACGCTTCATGGTGGGCCTGTGGGATGGGGATTGAAGGATTGGACTGGTCCTGGGCTTGCAAGTAAAGGAGTGGACAGGGAAACAGTGGTGTATAAATATCTCAGTCCCCACATGGACGAGAATTTCCCAGGCACAGTTGAGGTGGAAGTGGCCTACACTGCGTATGAAGAGCCAAGTGAAGAGGAAGGAGTTAGAGTCACGGTTCTGGAGATGGATTATGAGGCCAAACTAGTCGGGGATGAGGTTGAGGAAACAGCTATCAATATGACAAATCACAGGTAATTATAACGCACCAACTATGCCGGTCATAGTTTATCACTCCCATGCTAATATGCAACAGCTACTTCAACCTTAGTGGCAGCGAAACTATCGCCGACACCCGTGCCATCCTGACAACCACTGATCACCTGCCCCTCGATTCAACCGGAATACCAGTTTCCACAGCAATCACACCCTACCCAGGACTTACTGCAAACCAAGCTTTCACCCTTGGCCCCACAGAACCCGATGTTGATGACTGCTTCATCCTCAACACTGATCCCTCTTCGATTCCCACAGACACACGCTCCCAACCTCTTAAAACATGTGCGCGTTTCTACCATCCCACATCAAAGATTCACCTTGATGTTCTTTCTACGGACCCTGCATTCCAGTTCTACACCGGAAAATATATTGATGTTAAGGCCAGGGAGGATGGGTCTCCAGCGAGGGTTTCAAGGGCAGGGTTTTGTGTAGAGCCAAGCAGATACGTCAATGCTGCAAACGTGGAGGAATGGAAGGGTATGACTGTCATCAAGAAGGGTCAGGTTTATGGTAGCAAGATTGTTTACAGGGCTTGGCATGGTGGAAAAGAGGAATTTTAAGTGTTCCAGTAAGCAAAAGCCATCATCAGGTCATTGCATCCAGGTTATCAAGTCAAGAACTATTTGAGTACCGATTTTCAATTGTGACCAAAGAGCACAGAAACTATGAAATCAGGTCGATTGATATACAATCCAATAGTCATTGAGCAAACAATACAACAAACCAGTGCATGCTATGTACTCCCCCCTCGCCCAGTCCCTGCTGCCCAGTCTCCCTAGTTTTATCCCGGACAAAAAAACCAAACGAAACATAATATCAATGACACTTTACAGAATAGGAAAGAATTCAAGGAAATTCTACGCCTGTCCTACCCGAACCATCTGATCAAATGATTGGTCAAGGGATTGAGAGATACAAGATAAATAATCAAGACAGAAACGTGTAAAAAATAAAAAATACCCCATGAAAAAGGAGAAGAAAAGAGAAACTAGCGTATTGGATAGGTGTAGTTGGGGAAAATGTCCTTTTCCGCTCCTACTAATCCCGCATTCTGACTACAAGGGAAGAGCTTGAATTAAAAATCCACCCAAAAAGAAAAAAAATACAGAAACACAAGTTAAAGAGGACAGAAATAAATAAAATAAAGAGATCGACCAACGTATTAAGCAAGTGAAAACGATGAAATCTTAGGGGAAGATACTGGGCAAAAGAAGTAAAAAAAAAATCCAAACCCCTGCAAAACTCCGTTGTTTTCGTTTATATTGCTATCTAATCATGGTTCACCGATGCAGTTCATAATGTTCGTCTTTTATCGGGATTCCGTCAGTCCGTTGCTCTGGGGCCAAGACTGAGATCTCCGCTATTGAGAAAAAGACAGCAGTGAGTTGCTTCAGGTAAAGATTCGATCTCGCTCATGATCAAGTCTTTTGCTGAGTTCCAATACTATTTCTCCTTGTCGCTGAACTATACTTGCACACGGGAACCTCTCACCAGGGCCGGTGCTAGAACCCTCACATGTCAATACCGTTCTGGTAGATTCCACGGACAACTCTGGCAGGGTTCCCTGCGACTATTGTGAATGGTGGAACATCCTGCAAATCGAAATTTGATTAATAAGTTTTGACGACAAGTATATAAAGCACATAAGGCTTACCTTGGTTACAACGCTACCAGCGCCAACAACAGATCCTTTTCCAATAGTGATCCCGCTTCTAATAACAGGGATTAGGATAGGTTCAAATAAAGTTATATACCAAGATACTCACAATACAATAGTATTTCCCCCTATCCAACAGTCTTCTTCAATCATAACTGGATTTGCCACCTCAGGCCCCTGGGCTCCGTTGCGCTTTCTCGGGTCTATAGGATGCGTGGCTGAAAAGATACTGACATTAGGTGATATTATAGTCCGCGCCTTTATTGTGACCTGGTAAAAAATAAGTTGTTAGTTAAAAGCTCGTCAAAAGCTCGTCAAAAGATATTACGATGAACTTACGAGACAGCTGTCCAAAATTGTACAACCAAATTCAATGTGTACATCTTTCCCTAGTCGGATATTGTACCCGTAGCTACAGGTAAATGGTGCGTCAATCTTCACATCGACTATATCGCACGGGGCACCTTTTTCGTTGACATATTTTGGAGGCGCCCCCTGGGTGTTTTGCATCATCACTGCCCATTTCTCCCCTGGTCGGAGTACTTCAAGTAATAGTCTTCCCGTCTCGACCTTTGAAACACCAACATTCGGATCACTTGCATTATTGAATCTAATACAAGCACCTTTGCATCTTTCACGTTCCTCGATAAGCTCAGGTGCATTGGCTTGATATAGTTCTGAACTCAGCATCTTTTCTTTTTCAGAACGCTGACGCGGAAGCGTAGAACCGCTGGCAGCAGAGACCACTGCCATCGGTATAGAAGTATTGTGATTCGTAACTTGGGTAGGTGTCATAGACGAAGGTTGTTGGTGCTGCTGCTGCTGTTGTTGTTGCTGCTGCTGCTGTTGTTGTTGTTGCTGCTGCTGCTGCTGCTGCTGCTGCTGTTGCTGTTGTTGCTGCTGTTGCTGTTGCTGTTGCTGCTGCTGCTGCTGCTGCTGCTGTGATGTAGGCGCATATGACTGATGACTAGCCGGTGCTGTCTGCTGCTCGTTTGAATAAGAACCAACATGCTGCTGTCTTATAGACGAGATTGAGTCGTCAGGCTTGACTTCATCAATCACAATTGTGGCAACTGAAGGGTAAGTTCTGCGAACTTCTTCTGGTCGGTGCTGAAGCTGTTTTGGAACCATACTTGAGATGTGAATGGGAGTTGGTGAAGCTGATGTTGACTCAGGCTGTTCGGTCTTTGATTGAATGCTGATCGGCGTTGTCCCCGGGTTTCCACTCTTTCCCGGGGGCTTCTGCCAGTTAATCTTCCCAGAATAACCTTCACACACAAAGCCGCCACGCTTGCAATTGCTGCCTATGATCGCTGCTGTCAGTCCCATAACACATAGTATAAGTTAAGTTTTTAAAAGATATGAAACGGGATGCAGCTCTGTGTTTTTGTTAGGGTATTCATGGGAGTATGTTTGGGAAGTAGGGAGGCCAAAGCAAAACATCAACACTAAGATGTTGCGCACCCCGAAAAAACTAATAAGAGAATTCTGAACGAACATTCTGGTTTTCCTTCATCGCATTTCTTCTTCCTTCGTCTACAGGTGATGCAACCAGTTTTTGTTCGATTGCTAAACACTCTCTTCCGTTTCTTGGGATCTCCATGTGCAGTCCCGGGAGGTGGAGATCCGTCTTGAGTGCCAGCTCTTGTACGACCATCGTCATTGCCCTTCATTTCCTCATCCACGCTGTAATTACCAGTGTGATCGTCGGGACCTAGACTGGATTGGTTCCGGTGGTGGTTGGTATGGTGCGCATTACCCGTGTTTTCTTCTGCCATTGCTGCTTCGTGTGCAGCTAAATGATGATGTGTAACTTGTGTAGTAGGGGTAATCGCACGCTTCTGTTGACTCGAGATTTCCGGTGATCTCTTTCGCTTTTGCGAGGTTCCCGACATCTCCACGGATCCAGAACGAACACCTTGCCGCCACTGCTCTTCGGCCGAGTTGACCGTTGAAGCCGAACCATTGCTCCCACCATCTCGAACGGGCTGGGGCTGCGGAACTATCGGTGGCAGTTGAGGTCGGTGACTCACAACAGTCAGACCTCCATTCCCATTCCCGCCTCCATTGTTGACGGCAGTAAACCTTTGTGATCTCGAATCGTCATTATTATCGTCAGTAGGCAACGGGTTGGCCTGGCCCCCATCATTCCGCATATCTACCATGGCGAAGAAAACAATGTCGCGGTCGCGGTTGTAGCAGGTGCTATAGCAACGAGCTAAATGTAAGGTTAAAGTGACAAGAGACGAGCAAAAGTTGGTGTTGAGAAAAAGACGCGACCGAAATAGAAACCAGTAATTATCGTGCAATAGCAGTCGCAAATAGACCTATAAGCCTATCGGGAAGTCGGTACCAGCAGCGTATGTCCCAAGACGCGCAACGAGCCCAAAATTATTGAATGCAGGAATCAATGTGATGAGTTAAGGTGAGCAGTGATTGAAAATGGAATCGTGAAAAACCTGCACGAGCAAGTGGAAAGAAGTGGAGAGGAAGCGGATAGAACAAAAAAAAATGTCAGGGTGGTAGTTGGGGGGGGGGGGGGGGGGAAGGGCCAGTTTTTAGTGGATTGATTAACTAATGGATTGATCTGCTGGAAGGCTGACCGAGTGTTGGATGCAGTGAACGTTTGACGATTAACAGATTGATTGATTCTGGGCAGAAACGCAGTGAATCGATGATTGTGGAAGAAGGAGGGGGGGGGGGAGTGATAGGAAAAAAGGGTGGTGGTGGTGGTAGTTGTTAGTGGAGTGTGAGAGGTGAGGGTGAGGGAAGGGCAAGAGAGGGAGTAGTAGGTAGGTAAGAAGAAGCGGTGTAAACGCTGGTGCGGTACCGGTGCTACTGAGGGAAACGACGGAAGCGTACAAGGAGCTAACGAGCAAGGGAATGGGCACCCACTAACAAGCAAAAAAGCGTTCTGCAGAAAGAGCTGGCGGGAGTGATGGGATGTGATGGAATGAGCGCCCCGGGCGATTGTGCAGCGCGTGGAGTTAGGTGTGTCTGGCGCTGTTGCAGGGGTGGATAACTGGCTCCTGTTGAAGGGCCCAGAGTCAGCGGGTGGCATATCAGGATTGGGCTTGCAAGGATACAAAACCTGCGCAGCGCGGTGCAAGGTTTCTCCTCAACTGGCGTGTGACATCCACATTAACCCGCTTCGATGCGCACATTTATTTGCGCCAAACGCGGCTGCGGACTGATTGTCCAAATCCGTGCGTCCTTCGCGCCAAATGTGGTACATACGCAAACCTTCATCCCGTTCCTAGAACCGGAACCTCACTCACTAATTGATGATGATGTGCTTGTTCCTCAAGCTTCCTCCCGCGCCAACAAATACTTCAGGTTGCTTGCTCACCCTTTTCGCTTTAGGAATAAAAGAAAACGAGATTGAAATCTAATTTAATTTGAAATACGTGTCTCGATCAAGATATACCTGCACAGAATGATGCCCCCCCCCCTCAGAATATGTACCCTACTGCGTACGATATTATTTCCGAATCGCTATCCGTGCTACTGTTCCTGTTGGTGGTACTAGTAGTGGTAGCGGTTGTGCTGGTGCACCTTCTGCTGCTGCTGTTCCCCTAGTTGAGTTGCCGGGTTGCCCAGTGACGCCGGTCGCGAGATACCCATCATTCCCCTCCTCCTCCCCTCCACTCCCATGCCGCTGTTCTCGCCGCGGCAGCGAGTCGGCTGCTGCCTTACTGTCTGTCGCCTGCTGTCTTCGATTTTGACTACCCACCCACACGCACCCCTCATGCACTGGGGGAAACCAACCAATGCCGCGTCAGCCCGATTGAAGAGTGAGAGATAAATTATGAGGAAGGTACCGCTGACCTACAAGAAGCCGCCTCTCAACGAACGACGTGATGTTGCGCTACCGCAGGGCAGTGTTCTTATGATCCAATTCTATGTTTCGAAACCCTTGCTCTATTTTCGGCGTTTGAATGACGGTAAGAGCGTGTGTTTTCAAACGAAATGAAAAGGAAAAAATGAATCCCCCCTCCAACCCCCCCCCCCCCAAAAAAAAACCAATGTTAGGACTCTTCACGAAGCTATCATACCTCATGCACAACCTCTGGTTCTAGGTGAAGTAACCGAGGAGGCGAACGAGAATCATCAGCAAATGGACGGACGCCACCCTGGACTCGTACCGTTACATTGGATAGGCGCTTATGGTCCGGAAGGTTGTTCCCATTTCATATATATATTTTCCCCTTCTGAGCGATTGAATTTAAATATGTGCAACGGGGAAACACGAAACAAACTACATACACACATGAGCCGAGAACACCACTACCTACTTGGATCAGATCTCCTTCGCCATACAAGTGTTCTTGCAGGTTGATCTTCCTTCAAATTATCGGCACTCGTCATATCCGTGGCAGTACTGAACTGTACCTACTTGTAAGATCATGATGTACACACATGTACATTAGTCCGGAGTACTCGAAAGGTAGATTAAACTCCTGATGTTTCCAAAAAGAACTGGGTCTACATACATGATAATGTTGAGGAATATCGTTGGTTCATCATGGTACTCTACAGTGCCCATGGACTCTACATAACGTTATACGATAATCGTATTTCTTTTCTTTTCTGTGCATCCTTCCCTCAAACAGGGAACGAGGATGTGTAAAATGTTATGAAGGCTAGGGAAAGAAATATCCCGAGGCAAGTGATACTATTCAGTTCTCCGAATGGTTGTACTCCCGCGTACCCGCGAAACCTTTGTTATCCCTTCAGTATTTTCCCGGGGTTTGCTGGGCCATTAGAGGTCCTGACACTGTAGATAAAGTACATGTACTTTTCACACTATTCTACGAGTGCATTCCTGGACCGCCCTCGTTAGCGTACGATACCTGTGCTTGTAGATACGAGGGCCTGTCTGCGTTAGAAATTCTTCAGGCAACGCAACGAGCGGGTCGCTCGCTCGTGTGTCCAACCCCAGAAAGTTTTCCCGCCCCATCCGATTCGTGCGGAAAACCCTTGGCTGAGGAGCTTCTCTCAATGGGGGAGCAGATAAAGGGATCACAAACAGGCACTAAACGACACAGAGAGCGAGACTTCAGCTGAAAATGCAAAATCCCTCTACATTTCGATAAACCGTTTTTCTTTCCCAGAAGTTTTTAACGACCAAGCGAAAAGATCCGATCTGCAAGGCGCAAAAAAAAAAAAAAAAAAAAAAAAAAAAGGCCGAACCTATTCCTGAAGCAAGTTTATGCGCACAAGCGTCCTGATCTGCCGGAGCATGCGCGACACCCCACTGCAAGCACACCTTCGGGGGTCGGTACACCACAAATCTCCACCCTCCCCAAATAAAAATCGAACAATTATCACGGAAATCTCTCGCTCAGCTGCCATATGAAGCCAGTACAGCTAGCGGCTCACCAGGTTCGAGCCGGCGGAGAATATGAGAGACCTTCCTATCTCTTCTTTGCACGTATTCAAACCCTCCTGGATCCTCAAGGGGAAAGAGTGGAAGAAAGCAAAAATGGTTACAAGGTACTTACCCCGCGCGTCACCACACCATACTGGCGTATGTTATCCGACCTACTGCTGTTGTCTTGCGGCGCGAAATACGATGAATTTGTGATAACGTAGCGTGCGGCAAAAAGACGTCACACGCAGCCAGCGTCTCTAAGATCTGATAGGAAGTATTAGGTATTACTCCACCTTAGTTTGGATGCACGTACCAATTATCGATCCCAGCGGGCAGCAAATTACAAAATTCTTCCAGCACAGTGGCTACACTACATGATGATACACCAATCGTGTTTTTTGCGGTCACCAAATACTCACTTACTTCTGGTTTCCGCCTTTTTTTCCCCGCCCTTTTGTTTCTGGGGAAGTTTACTACTTTACATATGTACAAACGGCGCAGAACATATCTTTACTAATTTCCCAAAGAAAAGATCGTTCTGCAAGGAAATGTCTTACCCAAGGTTACCTGGGGCGCTCAGCCTTAACAACCACTGACTTGAGAGCTCGAAAAGGGCCAGCTCCCATAGTAGGTACTCAATTTCAGGAATCACGCGTTTATTCACCCGACAGGAACCCGGCAGATCTTTCGGGGTTCACCCAAAAGCAGAGAGGAATTTGCAGATGACATGATTAAGATTACTGATACGAAAAGGTATCCGGCTGAATTTGCCCGCCAATACTGCGTCTGTTGAGTTACGTATGGTTTAGTGCACGATCTTGCGAAGTGCAAGCAAGAGCTTCTACAAATCCTTATATACCGACACTGTCTAGCGTGGATGTAGAACGGCACTACAGCACCCTTACAACCATCTTACCAATCTAAAGCACAATACCCCCAGAAGCCAGGGGTCCCCCCCGTACTATACAAGAACTCTACTTGATGGCGAGATCATTGGTATATCTAACTAGACTCTTTCGACTGACTGTGATTATGAACGGAAGCCAATGGCCATTTGAATACTACCTGCATGCATATAACTGTCAAAATCTATAATCTACATTCCCGAGAAAATCAAGATTATACCAACCGATATACATCATACGCTGAGAGAAACAGTATTACTAACACCACAAGCCACGATGGGCGTTATTGAAGTCTAACGGATATCGAGAATAGTGTACCTTTGATCAGGGGCAGGGGAGTAGACTCGTAGAGTAGAGTAGACTCTACTTTAGAGAACCTACATGTAGGTTTACATCCCTGCACCATGCGCGTAATGTAATTACACCTTCCTTTACTTCCGCCGCTTATTTCAAGACCCAGAGTAGTGTAAGTCGTGCTTACATTAGCGCAAGTTCTTATCTGCGTAATCAGTGCATCTTTCCCTGACCGATCGTGTAAGCATGTACCCCGTACTTCACCTTTGCCAAGATCTAAAAGTAGCTTCTCATGTAGGTACCTACATACATACTTCTCTGCCCACTTACATGTAGGTAAGTACCTCTGCACGTGAATATTTAAGATTTGATTGCTTTGCTTTACCTCGACCTTGAACTGTCAGATATCTGCTCTAAAGACATTCCAATACACAACACCACCTCACGCGCCTGTCGTCGTAGCAGCAGTGTGCGCTTAAAGCGCGAGCACTAATGCACCGGTAAGGGAACATGGCCATACATCCATACACCCATACACCCATACACCCACCACCCCTCCCTCCCTCCCTCATCCTCCACCGCACACACAACTCCAATTTCCTTTAACTTACCTTACCGACCGGAACAAATAAGACGCAAGAGCCAACGGGTGCTCTAACAGGTAAGCCCATCGCCAGTACCACGTGGTTGATAGGTGCAGTTTCGTCGTGTTTTAGCCCTATACTAACTACCTACTACGTCAATTCTAAGCGGCTCCACACGTGGCTTGACTAGGAGGAAGGAAACTAAATTAACTCACGAGAAAACTCGCTTTCGCTTGTCCTAGCCTTTGGCAGTTAGGCCCTTTGGTATCAAACATACAGCACTGTATCGTGAACTAACCTCCTGCTCTTCTCCACCTCCCTACTACATACGTACACCTACGTGTATTCAGCAAAAGACAGGCGAATGTCTCCATAAAAATGGGCTGTAGCTGTAGGCCAATCAAAACAGTGGCAAAGCTGTCTGACCGGGATCTGGCTGCTTTCATCTGGACCCATCAGGCTCTTTCTCTGCGGTATGGCAGCTGAGTACTCGAGAGCGCTGACTCCGCTCTATCAAGTAAGTGGAATATGCGCGTACTCGAATAAATCAAGCCTATCAGATACCTGTTTAAAAAAGAAAAAAGATAGGTAACTACAAAGCTCGGTTCGACTTCTCCTTGACTGTTACCGGGTAGAAAAACCGTTGAGACTTCGATTAGAATACCATGAATGAGCGTGGTTAGAGTGCTTAGACTCCTCTTCTCTAGGCGAGGTTGATCCTCAGAATCTTCCCCATCTCTGGCCTAGAAAAGGGGAAAAGGTGGGGGAAGCTCTTATTTTTGGTTTGCTTGGCCCCACAACTGCCGATTTTCCGTGAAGATAAACAGGGGCGAAGTCAACGACGATCCGACTACGAATTCAAGATACAGGACTCGTGAAAGTTGAAGTTCCGCTCTCAATTGGGCCTTGGTTGCACGATTGGCGCCCTACCATGTAGGCTAAATATTAAAGGCCACACATGATTAGCTATCCTCAATTCCGGACATGGGGGGAAATAACACCTAACGAGAGTAAATATAGAGTTGAAGAGTTTGATTTCCTATTAACATAATATAGGCGACTGAGCCCTTACCGGATCTATACACAAGGTTATGTGGAATGTTACTGGCTCACTTGCATTGGTCATTTACCGGCAACTCCCTTTATCCGGCGGCACGGCGTCTATGAGCAACATCACTCCCAGAGCAGAATGAGTTTAAGGTATATGAATTATTGGTCACGGGCCATCCACACGCTTTTTTTCTTTTCTTCTTTGGGTCGCAGGCAACCTCAGCAGTGTTTCAGAACGACCGTTGTTGTGGGTGGGTTCTTGAATATGTCAAATTCCTGCTGAATTTTAAACGGGGTTTGCTGTAATCATGGAATTGAAGGCTTTATACGAATGAAAAGGCTGCAAAATTACCTTATCCGAAATATCGGGCTGTTCTTGCTCCACAGCCACCCCACAATCGTGGATTGACAGGTATCCTAATAATAAGCGAGATTGTTACTGCAGAGCCGACATACGCCAGAAGCGAAGCACAATACATACCTTGGCCAAGACATTTTAGTGGAAATTGTCTTAAAAACGCGTCTATGATATGCAATCTTCTCCAGAGCAAATTACAATCTCGCGATCTATCAGTTGGACAGGGAGTTCAAGATACACCGGTTCCCCGAACTGGAGCACATCAAACGCCTGGACAATTAATAGAGATACATCCTTACTACCGTATGTCTATGATTTCTAAAGTCTGCAACGTGCAACCACGGAGAATGGAATCATCCGTAAATGGATGCACCCACCTACTTAGAGTAAAGCCCATGGCTTGTATCGTCCATGTACAAACATGAAGTGTTGGTCAAGAACCAACATACCACAGGAATAAGGTGATACGAATCTGCGGGACCATGATAGGTATTGAGATGTGTCTTGATGCACATATGGCACAGATCAGTCAGAAGTAAAATGGGCGTACTGGCTAACGGGTAACTAGCTATCAGCTATTATGCAGGCGGCTGTCGCGTTCTGACCCAAGCTGGGGTGAGATGCTTACCAAGTGTGTCATTTCAGGCTGTACTGAGACGCTCTAAGCGGCCTTTTATGAATAACCAAACGATGTCTTGCGCTTGCTGTCTGTCCTGGTGATCAACGATAATTTAGTTAAACCGTCGGTGATTCCGGACCGAAAAAGAAATTATATGTATTGTCAAGCAGGTATGATACATCCATCGACACTAATCCAGGTACACAGGACTCCTTTTATCTTGCCTAAGCATATGAGGAAATTTGCAATGGCTTAGCTTTTACCGGCTCCAACTTCACGCCGCTTCAGAACAGCCAGTAGGTACTTACAAGTGCGGTCCCACCAATAAGCTCAAAACTTTGTTACAACCTGGCCCAAGGTTATCCCAAACGGACCTTCTAGAACCCTGAGCGTGCCAGCCTTATGAAGATTACTCTGCTGTAAGAAAATGTATGTACAGCGACTGGAATGATCTATGGAAAAACAGGGGGGGGTGAAATTGTATGGCGAAATATCTGTGCACCATATAACTGTTTTTCCATAGATCATTCCTATCGCTGTATGTATGTGCTTCTCTATAGGAGGCACAATACACATCATTTACGCTTTGACAATGCGGTGTGCGTGGATGGTGTGTGTTGGTCGGCTATCGATTAGTTGTTAATTTCCTACATTCTTACCAGACACGGGAGCCGCGTTACCCCGGTGCCACCCCTGTTCGTTCGTTCCGGTGTCGCGGCACCTACTAGTGGGGTGGCGAGGCGAGTCTCCCACTTTTCCCGCTCAACTCGTCTGGAGAAGCCTATTCGAGTAGTCAAGCGCAGGCGCAGCTCGTATGGCGATATTCGTCTGGGCTGTTATGAAATCCGGAGACCTGAACGCCGTATCACCTACTACTCAGGTCTAGCGTGGTTCTAATGACGTTCTTCAGGGCACAAACAGACGGTCCTGATGTTTTGGAAAGTGTAGAATTTACTTATAGATATATGCACATGCACCTTGGCGTATGCGGGTGTAGGTACTCTACAATACCAAAGATGGAGCGTTCTTACTCTAGAATTAAGTACCAATGCATAGGTGGGGGAAACCGATACACTTACAGCCGAATAATAACTGGTAAATGCCTATATTCTAATCCATGAACGATCGGAACAGGCAACAATTACAACCACAGATTCGACTAATGCTGTAGGAAGATCTGGGGTAGTCCTTTGGATTATTGGATAGTGGGATGGGAAACTAGAGGTGGTTGGTAGGATACCGTGTGTGAGCCCTGAGCCATGGGAACCGTGGTGCGGCGAGTGGTTTATGCTTTCCACTCTTCTTTAGCTTGACCATAACCCAAATCTATCATGCCTTGATTAGTTCTGTTTGCCTTACAGACATTGCAAGGCAAGGCTGGAACCAGTCTTAGTAAGCTCACACGTGGTTAGAGAATCGGATATATGCATAGCCTTTGAGGCTTCTGTAAGAAAAACATATGTGATAGGGAAAGGATCAGGTCAAGTATTTCTCTCCACCTGGCGCTACACGAATTGGATCGTCGGGATTCGCATATCAGTGAATGCCTACATATAAGTACGTTACTGCTAGTCCCTTACCTAGAGAATGTGTGCAAGTGAATTGCTCAGCGTACTTGAGACATACGTATACATCAGACAGGAACTTCCGCGGCAGGTATGTTGAGATGGGGACACATGCATAATAACATTACTCATTAATTGAGCCCAAATAACGTTTAATCCTAGGTATATCATAAAGCAAAGCAGGTGTTATCAAGTAACGTCCCGCACAACGCTTACAGCCGCTCTTACAGTGCGTCTAATACGGTAGCCACATGAATCAGGTTAAGAAGCAGCCGCGGACTCAAACACTAAAAATATGATTAGTAAGACCGGCATCGAGATTATTGACGGTAGTTTTACCTGTTAGGGATCCGGTTCGTGTTGTTGGAGTGGTCACATCATGACGTGGGCAGGTGCCCCGGAGAACTCGGAAATCTACAGGGCTTACTACCAATCACTGTGTTGTAAGCAAGGATTTTTCTAGACTAACTAAATATCGGTGTTTTATTGACTTGAAGGAGCTGCATATTACATATTACTTACAAGGTTAGGAGAACAAAGGGCGACAGTAACTCAATGATAACAAATTATCGGCGTGGGGTCAAGGTTGACATACCTTGCTTGTATTTCTACTTTAGATCTAGATTCAATAGTCATATGATTATGGGTTAATAAATATCCATTGTTGAGGTACATATCTGGGTCGCGCTATTCGTTGGATTTAGCCTTATTGGCTGCCATATCTCCAGTGAATTTGATAGGGAATACCTCTGGGGAGAAATCTGGGAAATTCGCGTACTAGATTGACCATGTCCTGTTTCAAGAAAAAATGCAGATAATGACATAACCGAGTGATATATCGTGGATACGACCTATCCGGGGTTTTTTTTTTTTTAGCGAGTGCCAATCCATGAAGAAAAATAGCTTTAATCCTGAAACGGAGTTATTAATACTCTGTATGCTGTTTATGCTCCTCAAATTATATATATCTCGCTCTGCTTTGGGTTCTTCGCAGCGATTTGAAAACTTTGTACATCGTAAGCTTCCATATCACTGCATGTGGTTTTGGAAATATGTAGATCCGCTATACATACCTCTGATACGGCATTTTCGTGGCGTTCTTGCATCTGTACGTAATTGCTTATGGTGTCGACGGTACCTCTTGTAGGCTTAAAGTTCCGGGCCTTGTTGCCTTCACATGTAGGTTCTTGTCGATTAGTTGGACATATTATTATCTTTGTGGGTGGCCTCGATTCTGCGCCTCTGAGGGGAACTAGGTTTGTGTCTAGTATCACGGTGAAAGCCGGCCTTATTAATTGCGTTCGAAAGTTCCCTGATTCGTACCCAAATCATCAGTAACAGTGCCTCTAGTGCACTATCTCCACTCTTCTCTTATCAATAGATATTCCTTGTGCTCGTGGTGACAAAATGACCGCGTGTTGGACTTGATTCAGGCAAAATTTAAAAGAGATTGAGGGATTCGGATTCGAGGAGTTGGTATTATGTACAGTCTATCTGCGGCAGCCACTCTTCTTGGCTGGTTTTAGACTTTACACGTTACCCGGATCGGCGGTCAAAGTACCATTGCGTTTCCTTGGCTAAAGGCGGTGAGTATCGTGTACTCAAAAACAAAATAAGCAAATTTTTAGGGCATGTTATCGAGTACACTATGTATTCATTTTGATTTCTTTCCGAAGTTTAGCTTGTAGATGTATTTCATTTCGTTCTTCCGCTTCTTGTCTTCCGAACCAAACATACAACGCATGTGTCAAAAATGCACGGTGCACGTGCGACCCGTGCAGCATTCTCAGAGTCGAGTGATTTTTCATGAATGTTTCCTTCACGTGAAATCACTCGGTAAAGATGGGTCAGTCATACTTTCATTTTCTTTGCTTATTACATCATTGCAAAGCCCAAAGGCTATGAACTTACACCGTTATGACAATGGTATCCCTTTCATAGCAATTCTATAACTACTTCTCTGTTATTTTTCTTTTTTTAGTTTTTGGTTTGTTCGATATTCTGACGTACGACGTGTGTCTTGGACTAGTTTGAGTATTTTTTTTTGTTTAATTCATTAATTGCATGGACTAGTTTGAGTAGCCGAGAAGGGAATTTTTTATTCTATTCCTTTGTAATGGTGTATTGAATAAGCCTAAAAATAGTAGCCCCCTAGTTGTTATGACCGATATCGGGGAACAATTTTCTTAGCTGATCCTAACGTATGGGGCGGACCACAGCTGCCACATACCCATAGCGCTGGAAGGGAAAACGCTCACACAACTGCAAAACTCAAACTCGGTCGATAGAATTACATACTAAATTGAGCATGCGACTATTTCATAAAGAAATAAAAGTCATTTGAGTTCATGACTTTTTTGTAGTATATACCTGTTATAACCTCCCGACTCTCCCTTGTGTTTTTTGTAGCTATATGCACCCCATTAGTTGTTATTTTGTGTCTATGCCGTTCTTTGGCTTTACCAAAGTCTTTCAGACTAGTAGACGTTAGCTTTGAGGCACATCAAAATCGGACCCGTTTCTGGATTCCCTTCGAATGTGTGAATCATGAGAGATCACTCGCTAATTGCGAGGTTCGATTTGTTATTTTGATTGATTCAATAAGTACATTTAGCCTAAAGACTATGGTACTAAGTTCGATTTGTTAGATATTTGGAGCTTGAAATGGTATCGAACCTATATAGACGAACTGTCTAGACTTATTATGTCGACACCTATCAATATCCTACCAACACATATCTAATCCATAACTATATAGCGAATTAGACCCTTGATCACGTCAATGAACTATCTCGTCCTACCTTTTCAACATCACTGTTTTAATTTCCTTTATTGAGAGCACGAGAGAATGTCTAGTACACCATACAATCATCTATCCTGTATACCCTAGGCTCGAAGCCAGTGCGGTTCAACATTTACACCACGTATATATTGAGAATTTACTTATAAATCTTTACTTTACAAAAGCCGATCAAAACGTTTGCGACTCAAGTGGGAACTCGAGCTACATACATATACAGGAGTGCTACCTATTTATAAAGGGGGGTTTTTGGTGCTCTCTTCAACCGCCGGGCCTTTAAGCCTACCCAAGCAAGCCGTAACAGATGTGTAAAGCCTACTCAAGCAAGCCGTAACATATGTGTAAAGTATACTAAAGAACCTTGTACATTTGTATAGTAGAGCGATAACAGCCAATAGCACAAGCCCAGAGCTCACCACGATCGCCACTACAGCGCCTTTCGCCAAAGGCGGCTTCGACTGTGGAATATTATCATGGGGTTCAACAGTACTATTATTTGAAACACACGAGCTGAATGCTGCCCCGAAGTCTTTGTCGGCCCAGCCTTTGCGCGGCGAGCGGTTGCCGGCGAGGTTGAGCCCGGCGTTGTCGATCACCTGCTGCGGCGTTTTGTAGACAGTGTTGAGTTCATATCGAGATTTCCACTGTAGAGTCGTTACTGCGTTAGCGGTGGGTGTCTTTTTGGGGCGGTGGACATGCTTACCCCGGGATTTCGCATGTTAAACACTTTTACGAGCTGGTTATCGCATGGAGCGGCTTCGTCAACGACTTCTCCCGGTGGGTAGCCCCCTACGATGAGGAGCTGCTCCCCGACTGCATGGCACGTATGTCCTCGGAGATGAGAGTTTCCGAATGGGATGGACACCTTGGTCCAGCTGCAAAGGCGGGTTAACATCAGAACGCTGGACATTTTTCGCATATCAACAAACAAAAGTCCTATGGAACGAGGGAGCATTACATAAATGTAGGTAGACTTAACACCCACATCTCGTCAATACCTCCTGATTGACCGTCCATTGACATGCCACCATGGATCCAAACCCTATAGAATCGTTAACCCCGAAACCCGGTGCTGTGGGGGGGAGGGGGGGAGGAGAGACTCGGCACATACTCCCACGTATCTGTCTCATTACTATAAACTACGGCTCCGCAGAACCGAGTGCGAACTATTGGTTTTTCATCATCAAAGAACGTCGTGCTTTGATTAAACCATATCTTCTTATCCAGACTATAAATCATGGCGTAGTTGAACACGACCTGCACCACCCCGGGCGTACGTTAGCCTCTAGCCTCAATATATTGGGCGGATATGGGCTCGAAACTCACAGACTCGCCTGTCTTCTCAGCGACACTACCATCATCGGACAGAAACGTTCCTGCCCGAGCCCTCTCAGGAACAAATGATATGAGATAGCCTTTCCCGCAGCCAATCGGCAAATGCAACATTCGTCCATTCCAATACCCATAACCCTCCTCGTCACCAAAGAAGGTCTCATTAGTCATGGTCGAAGTAGTGTGATTATACACCAACATCCCCACCTGCGGTCTCGACAAGCCGAGCGGCGTCTCGCTCGACGTCCGGGAATTCGTTATACCACTAAATATAACCAACCCGCCCATAAGCCATCGAACCCAAGACAACGCTCAGCAGCTGCCGGAACATATACATACCCACCATAGAAGCTCAAGTCATATTTCGGTATTGACACCACGGCGCCCGCCAGCGCTCTCTCGACCTTCCACCCGTAATCGCCAGTCACGTCTTCCCAGGCCCGCTTACCGCTGCGGACATCAAACCGCCACAACGACCAGTCCGGGATGTCCGCTTTTTCGGGGGAGTAGCTGCTCTCGTTCCATTTTGAGGCCGCATAGAAGTGCCCACCCTGGATGTAAATTACATCCTGACTGCTATCTACCCACATGCCGAAGCGGTTGAGGGCGGGGACGTTGAGTGGTTTGCGAGTCTGAAAGGAGGGTGTCCATGTATAGGGGTCGAATTCTTGCGTGAGGTCGATGGAGAAGGTGTATGGATCTAGGGGAAGGAGTATGGGTGAGAATGTGGGTCAATGCTAATTAAGGGAGAAGGGTGAGGATATATATACTTAGATCCAGCACCTCAACAACCTCCGCCTTCCAGATAAACTTGAATTTACTCATTCCACCCTCAATTACCAAAAGATGGTGATCATCATTCTTCAACACGGCGCCTTTCGTAATTTAAATATTAACATAACTCCTCGTTTTGCGTGTGTTGTGGATTATGGGGTCTAAAGTATTATACTTACTCTGGTGGGAAAGCAGCGCACACCGGTTCTCAGGGGAGAAATCGTATGTCTGTTGATCGGACGGAATATCACCGGAGCCTATCCGTTTCACGGTCTGATTTCCTGAGGCGGCCAGGACGACGGCGACGAAGAAGGGAAGAGAGGCCCATCGGTAGAGATTCATGGTAATGAGCGTTATATATCGCTGATTGGACTTTGGTGATATGGTCTTTAGCGTTGAAAGCACGAGACTCGAGCAAAAGGCTTGCACGAGAATCTCTTTAGCTAGCTAGCACGTCTCTCCTTCATCCTCTCCACGAATATATCCATTGCTCAGTTTAAGTAGGTACCTTAGCTTCCCATACGTTTCATTATTGATGCAGAAAAAAAAGTAACGACAAGAAGAGCTACCAATTCGTGGTCTGTACCACCCCTTTGAGGCACTTCAACTCAGCACGTGCGTTTGTGCCTGTGTACTCCCTTCATGGCGTTAATTCCGGCCCAAACCGACACCCAGATCTGGTGGAATTGCACGATTTCTGCCCCCCGCCAAGTCCAGTGCGGAAACGAATTGAAATGGTAATATTTCAGCCTTGTCTGTAACATGCAGTCTAGCTTGTGGTCTCTTCATGTCTTGTGGCACCAACTCTTGTGCAACATCGCGTGTGCTTCCACAAAGTTGGCCTCTATACACATATCTAAGTACCCTTCTTGGACGGATGGATGGAAAGGGCTGTCTGAGGTTTCTCCCACGGTGCACTCCGTGCGGATGCGGGGAAACCTAATTCATGCACACATGTACTATATGTATGCACTGCGGGGGAAATTTAAGCCGTGGGGAGGAACATTCAGCCGCAGCACTAGCAGATGGCGAAAGAGAGGGATGCAGAATGTGACATGTGTTGGTGTGCATCTCGAAATTACCTACTCTAGAATATAGGTACATAGGTTGGCTGGTTTTAAGAGTAGGTATGTAAAAGGAGGACTGACCGCGCGAGATATAATACTACCGGTTATAATTATAGGTGGCAGCCGTCTTCAAGGCTTCAAGTTCATGAGATATGACTCGAGACTAGGGTTAGGGAATTGCAGTGGTAGTGCAGATCTCAGAGGTAGAATTCGGGAATGATCACCAATAACGACTTCTTCATATGAATAGACCGACACTTGACAGGGCTGAAGTTTAAAGCTACGTGGATCACGTCTCTTCTTCTACTTTGCCGATTCGGCACCCTGAATTATCGGGGATATGAAAGCCCGCAATTAATTGTCTGAGGACCTGGAGAATACTATAGTTGCGTGAGACAAGGGGAGGTTTAACGCGCTCTCTCACCGCTCTCTCTCAAAGCACTGGCAGCTTGGGTGTTAAGTATCTACATATGTATCTATTGCGTATCAGGCGCGACACGGCTTGGTGTCTCTTCTCACCGCTACCTGCACTGGCGACAGATGGTTAATTCCGAGATAGCTAACGGTCATCCCACTCTCACTTATGTAAATGTCCAGTTCAGCGTATCTACAGCGAGAGGTAAAATTATTGTAGAAACAGGGGTCTAAAAAACAGGGTTTCTGTGGCTGGGCAAGCCAATAGGACTCCTCCCATATTTCTACAATAATCTTACCGCAAGCTGTACCTATCTCTGTTATCAAGATCCAGCAGTCAGGAGGCTATGCTGCTTGTTCTGGTCAAAGCAGTTGACTCTGTGATGATGGCCCTTGCTGTTACCGCTTTCGCTCCCAATAATTAATTATAGCCCTTTGCCAAGCACTGTGACATCACTCGCCTAATAAAGCCCTCGAAACAGAAAAGCCAAGTTTTCGTCTAGGTAGCTAGATTCAAGTTCCAATTAATTTACTCCCATCCACTCATCCATCCACATCCACAGCATTCCCATCAAGCACACCACCGCCGTCATTCGGGGAATTAAAGTAGAGTGAAGAGGGAAGGATGCATGCTGATTTGTTTGCCTGATTAATGCTGGCTGGGGAGGCAGGCTGCCGATGACGCCCTCCTTCTCCTCTCGCTTAATAAAGTGTTCTTAGCTCCATGACGCGCATCTTAGCATGACGACGATGCCAAACAAACGTTGTGCCTATCATGTTGTCCCTTCTAGAAACTCGCACTGTTCCCTGCAAGAAGATTCATAGAGTGGTGGAGTGAGAGGGAATGTAGTGTGTGAACTTGATTTTGAGTTGATGCGACAATCAGGGACATGATGCATGAATGGATTCTCTCTCGACGGATCGATCTTCTATAAAAGAGCTTCCTCCTGACCGCCCAAAACATATCTCCATCCAGTATACCATACTACCATACCACTACTACCGTACCATACCATACCACTACCACAATAAACAATCAAACCAAACCACCCCCAACTAAACCACCAAAATGAGAACCTCCCACCGCCGCGCCGTCCCCGTGACAAACACCCGCACCAAGCCCTCCTTCTTCTCACGCATCACCGGCCGCCGCGCCGCACCTCGCGGTACTACTACCACTACCACGACCACCACTACTCGCCGCACCCACCGCGGTGGTGCTGCGGCCCCAGTGCACCAGCAGAGACGCCGCCCTAGTATTGGTGATAAGATCTCTGGCGCGCTGATGAAGTTGAGGGGTAGCTTGACGAGACGCCCAGGAATGAAGGTATGTTGAAAAAGTTTCCTAGGAGATAGGTATTTATAGGTTGGTGGATGCTAATGGGTTGTGGTTAGGCTGCCGGGACAAGGAGAATGAGAGGCACTGATGGAAGAGGGAGCCATGTGGGGACTACGAGGACTACGAGACGGTACTAGATCTGAGGAGTAATGGTTTTTTCGGTTAAGCATTGATTAAAGAATATTTTTTTCGTAATTGGGCTTGTTTGATTTCTTCTTCTTCATACTTGTATTTTTACTTTTATTTACTACACTGTTCTTTCTTCTTTCTGGTTTGTACGATTAGCGACGGTGTTATACGAATATGATACGATTGATACCTTATATTATATATTAAGAAACTACATACAAATGAAACCTTCCATCGAGGATGTTAATAACACATAAAAAATCATCTCATCAAAAAGAAAACCGAACAGAAAGAGCTTGATCCAAAGTCCACTAAACACTCCTAGGAACCAACTTCAGATGCAGCTCACCAGCCTTCATGCTCCTCAGCCAGAACTCTGTAATCCTCATATCTGTCCCTGGTACCTGCACAAGCTCGTAATTTCTGAACAGCAGTGCAAGCATCATCTGCATCTCCATCATTGCCAGACTGCCGGAATTCGTTAGACTCATGATCACCCATTATTGGAACCTTTGTAATTAGGGACGTAACATACTTTTCACCGATACAAATCCTCGGTCCGGACCCAAACACCGTCCACAGAGTCCTCATCTCACTCGTCTCGTTCTCCCAGCGGTCAGGGATAAACTCTTCTGGTTGCGGAAAGGCCACAGGGTCATGGGTTGACGTATGAGACTGCGCAAAGATGTCAACCTATCGTTACCTTCCTGTTAGCCACACACTCCATACTGTCAATGATCATAAGCCCATGAAATTCAACCACAAACCTTTCCCGGAATAAACATCCCATCCACCACCACCCCATCATCCGGCACAACCCTCAACGCCGGTCCCGGCGCCAACGAATGCCTCCTCATCCCCTCCTTAATACACCACTTCAACAACCGACACTCCTCCTCCACCTTCCGAAATTCCATCACCTCCCCCATCCTATACACCCCCTCCGGAAAGGCGTTAAATACCTCCTCAACAACCCTGCGATGCACATTAGGCTTCTTCAGCACCTCACACACTATAAATGCGGTACTATTCCCCGTCGTGTCAGTTCCCGCAAATACATTCGCTAGCGCCTCCCCTTCCACCGCTGCCCTCGGTAGCCCGTATGACAGCAGCTGCGAGAGCGAATCTTTGCGTGCTTGTGAGGGGTTTGCGGCACGGTTGGACAGGTATAGCGCTGTGGAGTCGGAGGTGATGCGGCAGAAGTCTTCCATGGACCGCACCCAGTCGAGACGCTTCCAGGGGATGGATTTGAGGAGGGAGTAGATGGCATTTCCGAGGTGAAGTTGAACGAGGTTGGCGGACATGAGGTTGTCGAGGAGCTTCATTTGGTGGTCGGGGTCGGAGGCGCCTTTGTAGAAACCGCCGAAGGAGACTTCGGCTGTGATTGGGGTGGGGGCGAGGGTTAGCATTGTATGGTATGAAGATTTGCGGGGGTCGAAGAGGGGAGGGGGAACTTACTAATGGCATCAAGGGCTAGGGCGCGGAAGCAGCGAACCATGGGGACTATGCCGTTTGGTGAAGCTGTTCGGAGAGTTTCTAGCTTTGCGAAGTAGTTCTCAAAACATCTATACTTAATATCAGCGCTTAAACTCACCCGGGGATAGGAACAAAAACGAAATTGAGATATAAAAACTATATCTGGCGTATGCTCAAAGAGCTATAACTAAGGATTATATATATATACCCACTTTTTGAAGACATCTTGCATAGCAAGTATATTCCCCCTCGAGAAAATATTCCCATACGCTCTCCTCCTTTTGAGAGCATCCCCAGGAAGATGGAAGGAAGCTATATTATCTGCCTCCGGTTTACGTTGGAAGTTGAACATCGCCGTGATCTGAGGGTTGCGAGTAAATGGCTTTTTCAGCGCTGTTCCGTATACCATTTTTACGCCCGCTGTGCCAGAAACGCCGACGAGGGTTGGTCCAACACTGGGGGAGGTGTTAGCTAATACGACGTATAGTATACTCACTCATAGAGATAATGTAGCAGAGGTATAGTTACCGAATAGTGGGCCCGTAACGTTCGTGGAGAGAGTGGATGTAGAGTGCCCGTTCACCGCGCATAAGGTGGTCTGGACTCATTATTAGAGCTTGTTAATGCTTAAGTTCATATATCAGTGGAACAGAAGATTACTTACATCCGTCGGGGATCTGTGTATAATGGCTCCACCATGGGCCTGGAATGTGTCTTAGTGGGCCGAAAAATCGCCATTTGATAATGTATTCTAAGAGGAATGCTATTATCGCTACCGCGATGTTTTGCGGCGTGAGATATGCTAGAGCCGTAGGCTGTGGTACTGCCGTTCCTAGGACTAATCCCATTTTTTATATCGACCCCTTTGGACGGCCAAGGGCTTGTATTGTATTTGGAGATGAGTATAAGGGAATATATATGAAGATGATAATAAGCTCTCCAGGTTTCTAATAGTAGAGACCTTTTGGAAGTTCTCCAGAAAAAAAGTTTAGAAATTACGATTCTTCAGAGCTGACTTATGCCTTAAATACTCAAGAATCTCTTTCAAGAGGGGTAGCTACATATTACCTACCTACATACCCCCCAGACAGGTAGAGCCAATGAGAAACCCTCAAACTTTATCTCTAAATCAGTGATAAATAAGGCTACTGTGCCGGTAGAGTACACATGGCACATAACTTTAGACATATCGCGCGTGGGAGCTTATGTCGATAAATGCGTTACTAGCCCGATCCTTACCAGGTTCAACTAGCTGTGCAAGCGCGGCTAGGCAACCGGTTAACCTTGAAAACGTCTGCGTGCATGCATCGCACTTTACCAAACGTGTTTGATGGCGCAGTGGAAGTTTATCGAGGTGACTCCCGATCGAAAGTCTCTGGGATGATTGGTATTTAGGTTTTATAGGTATTGCACTTTGTACTCACATGTGTGTAGTAATCAGTCTCTTTCTAAAGTATAAGATACTGCCTGCACTCAGTCTCGTGTTCGTCCCATACGAGCAGCAGGCTGCACATCGTAAAGTATATTGATACGCTCTCACTCATTGGTCACCCACGCCTCGGTTCTTAGACAATTAGGTGCCTTCGGCCTCGGCACAGTGATAGACAATCTTCTGCAGAACCTATTTCTTTTGGTTAGTTATACACGGCGACTGAGAACATGACTTTAGGGTTTGAAGCGTCTAGGGATATATACGAGCTTAGTTATTTATATGTCTTTAGGCCATGAACCACTTGGGTGATACGTTATGAAACCCCGAGTCATGATCTATCAACCATTAGTTGACATATCATCTTCAAGTTAAACTTGATACCTGTTATTCGGAGTGCAGTTTATGAAGAGTCGATTGAAGAGAGTATTGTACGACTGTTTTATAAGAATAGAACAAACTCCTTTTATGATCAAAAAAACACATTATAATAAAACACGTAATTATTTGAGCTGTCTTGGCACAGTGAGAATGACAAGTATACAGAAAACAACGTTAACAGCGTTAACAGACAGAATCTCAATGTACGCGAGCGTCTTAATATAATTTCTGCAGCATCGTCAGCACATCTACAAAGGAAGGTTTGTGATCAATAAGTATATGCATAGGTCCCGATATCCAGGATCTTACCAATGCCAGGGTTTCCCCAGACGCAGGGCAAGCAAAGTTGTTTCCAGGAAATATATTTAGCCTGTCAACACCTAACCCTGATAGATCTGATAAGATAACAACTATTATCCGTCCGGCCGACTACAACCGACAACCGAGAGATTTCCGTTCTAGCATTAGTATCACAACTAAGCACTCGTTCGATATTCCGCAACGAGAACAAACAACCCCCCCCCCCACCCACCACCACCACTACTGAAGGACATGAGATATCGTACCGCACTGTCAAACGTCGATCTAGTCCACTCCCGACCCCCGCACGCAGAATAACACGCCTGCCTACTAGGAACTAGGAATCATGAAGCTCCAAACAAGGTTAATACCGGCTCTATCAAAGCAGATGCAGACTTCCCGCCGTTCCTGTCTCTCCCGATATATCTCAAATACCACCATCTCACAGAGGCCAAAAACAGCCCTATTCTTTCCTGGTAGGTGTCATGCTCTGGCCTAAGAAATACTTTTTCCTATTCTTGTTATACAAGTTAGGTTTATTATTGTAGTTGTAACTAACATGCAATATGACTCAGGCCAAGGCACCCAGAAACCGGGAATGCTAACACCCCTTATTAAAACCTTCCCGCGCACTCTAAACCCACTTCTCGAAGTCCTCGAAGCTACCTGCCCTGGGCTACGCAAAATTATTGCTGGCGGGCCCTGTGTCGAGCTGACTGACACTGCAAATGCACAACCCGCCATTCTAATCACCTCCATCGCAATCCTACGCGTATTGGAGCAAGAGTTCGGTCTGAAAACAGCAAACTTCGACTACCTACTCGGCCATTCCCTCGGCGAGTTTTCAGCGCTGGTCGCGGCAGATGTCATCTCCCTTGAAGATGCATTAACGCTCGTACGGCGGCGCGGCGAAGAGATGGCCGCCTGCGCCGATGCCACGCCGGGTGAGCTGGGTATGTGGGCCATCATGGTAGAGCCAAACCTTATGGACGGTCTGATGAGGAAATTCTACGACTTCATCCATTCGGAGGTACTGCCGGATGACGAGTTCCTCGGAGTAGCGAACATCAACTCATCAACACAGATTGTGCTGAGTGGACATGTGCGTGCGGTCCAGGCGTTTCTATGCCACATGAGGAAGTTCAAAGGGAGCGACCCGCGTGCGATTAGGCTTAACGTTAGCGCGCCGTTTCACTCGCATATAATGTATCCAGCGGTCAAGGTTGTCAAAAACCTTCTCGATGAGATGGAAATACGGCCAGGCTTTGAAAAGGTGGTAGCAAACGCCACGGGAAGGCCATACGAAGGTGTTGAGCCGATGAAGAGGCATTTAGCAGCACAGGCAGTGGAGACCGTTCAGTGGAAGGACAGCATTGGATACTTGGAGAGGGTGCAGGGGGTGGAGAGATGGGTGGGAATTGGGCCGGGGAAAGTGGGGAAGAACTTGGTGGGGAGAGAGGTGCAGGGGGGGCCACCAAGTGTCCTGTGCGCGACGGGGCTTGATATCAAGGAGATGGAAGAGGTTGTAAGAGCACTGGAAGACTTGTAAAACTATGGATTAGAAGGGGGGGGCTTTTTTCTTTTTCTTTTTTCTTGAAAAACGAAAAAGATTGTGCATTTGGCTGGTTTAGGATATCTTTTTTGTTTTTGTTTGTAATGCTGCTGTACTTATGTTTGTTTAATGGCTGGGGGTTGCATTTTCTTTCTCTTTTTCGTTGCGTTTTCCGGGAGCCCTGCGGGTCTTATTCTTTTTTTCTTTCTTTGGGCGTTTCGTTTAACAAACTTAGAGTGCGAGGGGATGTTATAATGCAATTGGCTCTTTCCTTTTTTCGCATGTATGCTGCTAATCTTGTACTATACCATACCAAATGTCTCTGATTAGCGAACAATTTCTATAGATAGCCAGTGTCGAAAAGCATTCCGGTTCGCGCCTGTTCACAGCCGCCATATAATTTTCGACATCACCAGTAATTATAATTCATATATTCTGATTCAGTACATGCACTTCACTACCTCTAGAGTACTTCATCGATTCTGGCATAGAATATGAATGACTTGGTACTTTCTAGAGCAGTAGTAGTATTGCAATAACAAGGAAATCCGGGGCCTGACCAGCTTACTGGCAGCTAATCTTCAATATAAAAGATCAGGACGAAAAGAATAGGCTGCGAACGACTGTACCATGGCGGCATGGCCGGGGGTGCTTTATTAAGGATATATGCAGTACTAGAGTAGATACATCCCAACCCTAACCCACACATTCAATATTAATAGGCATCATGCGTCATAGGGACGACCACTGCCTAAAGTTTCGCTTCGAACATAGGATACAAAAAAGAATTAGGAATCCACTCAGCAGCATCCTCGGAATAGCGATTCACTTCACTAATGTATGTTACCAGTACAATCCTATTGTGCATGCATCTACCTATGTAGTAGGGCCACCCACTGTTCCGGCAGACCCCCTGTAGGATGTAAAAGTATCTGCTCATCCTCCCCTGTTTGAACCAACAGAAAAAGCAAAAAAAGAGAAAGCAAGCTGCACTGGCAAGGCAAGCAAGCAAGCAAACAGACAGAACAGCTCTCACTTCACCTCACGTCTTTCACGCACACACGACTGGTAGAGTGATAAGAGCTCAACACCTACCATACTAGGTAGCTCCTTCCCACCTCTGTCAGCCCTCACCTCTTGATGTTCCACTATAACCACACCTACAGCAACGTGCCCCCACAATCCTCTTCATTCCCTCGCCAGTTACCGTATGTGTCAACGACCTTGAAGATGCTTTACGACGAGATTCCCCCGCGCATTCACTTCTGCGCTATGTGTGGCGGCCCCTTGTCCGCCGATATTGACGTGAATGTCGATCGCTGCCTCAAGGACGAGAAAGAAGAGAAGTGGCACTGGGAGGGTCTAAATGCTTATCGTAATAATAATGACAGCGGTACCGCTGCTTCTGACGAGGATACCATTAACAGTGTCCCCAGTAAAGTATATCTTCTCTATGTGCTAGAAAGTAAGATTCTATTATTTTAGAGCTGACGGGTGCTGCAGTGGTTTGAGAGATTCCGTGGGATTGTGGTAAAGAATCACAATGACTGGGCATTTAGCGCCCCGGACTTGGATTCGAACGACGAGGAGTTCAGCGAGGAGGAGGACTCGGAGATGGGAGACATCAGTGAGGATGATGGTGTTTTGGCGCCCTCTGCAACAACCGAAAACGATGGAGGCGACACGAGCAGCCCTCCGTCTTCAGGAACCTTTACGCCAATTCCTCCGAGAAGACAGCGAAATCGTCGTACATTTAGCGGCATCTCTACTCGTCTCACCGGCGTGGGGTATGTTTCTGAGTCCGAGTCCGAGTTTGGTGTCTTACCGCATCCCTATGCGGCGTCGGTCTCGCCCGATAATGATGACGGGAGCGAGGAGGAGTATCAATTCTACACGGCGGTTAACGACAATGCTGAGAGAGGCATTGAGATGATACCAGTGCATGAACTCTGCTGGGATATGTTTATGAAAGCTGTGCGGTATTGGTGTGAGGACGCGGGGGTCAAGCTATATGATGGGACAAAATGGTGGCTTTCGAGTGATGTGATATGGAGGTTTTTCACCGTAGGGTATTGGGATAGTGCGGTCGATGAGAGATTGCAGATGGTGAGGTGGGCATACGGTAAAAGAATTGTCGAGAATCATCAGATGGGCAGATGGGAGGTTAGGAAGGGTGAAGGTGTAAG